CCCCACTGACCCTCCACTGGCCCCCCCCGCGACTGTCCCTGTGTCCTCCTCCCCACACTTTGTCCCCTCTGTGTCACCCCCTGAGGACACCTCGTCAGCGAGGAGCAGCGCCCTTGTCCCCCTGTCCTTCTGTCCCCTTGTCCCCCTGTCCCTGTCCCCCTCAGCAGCAGCTCAATGTTTAGAGCAGCGGGACGGGAGATCTGGGTGACAGTGGGGACACGGTGACAGTGGGGACACACAGCAAGGACACGGTGACAGTGGGGACACACAGTGGGGACACGGTGACAATGTGAACACGGTGACAACACCGCGTCCCTCCCGGCCCAGCGCCACCCACCGGGGAAGGGGCGGGGGGCGTGGGGACAGATCCGGGGCCGAGGGGACACACCTGGGGAGGGGACACAAGTGACCCCACCCTGGAGCTCGCCAGCCCCGCCCCACTCAGGTAACGCCCCCTCCGAGCCCCCATCCCCGGAGCCCCCCGGCTCCGCTGTCCCTCGGTGCCACCCCTGGTGTCCCCCGGCCCGTGTCCCCCATTGTCCCCCGGTGCCATCCCTGGCCCGTGTCCCGGTGTCCCCCGTTCTCCCCGGTGCCCCCCGGCCCCTGTCTCCCATTGTCCCCCGGTGTCCCCCCGTTGTCCCCCGGTGCCCCCCGGTCCCTGTCCCCCGTTGTCCCCCGCTGTCCCCCGCCGTCCCCGGTGCCACCCGCCGTGTCGCGCAGACCATCGCGGACTCGAGCCCCATCAAGCGCTCGGCCTCGCTGCTGGGCCAGCCCCGCGCCCGCGGCGTCCGCCTGGACGATTTCTCCCTGGAGCGCGTCCCCCCCCCCGAGGACGCCCAGCGCCACCCCCCCCGCCACCGCGGCCACCGCGGCCACCGCGCCTCCGAGCGCTCGCTCAGCCGCTACACGGACGGCGACACAGGTGCGACCCCCGTGTCACCCGCGGGGACATCCCCACCCCGCCCCGTGTCCCCAAAGTGACACCACAGCACCCCCAAATCCCCCCAAACCACCCCAAAACCCCCTAAACTGCCACCAAACTGTCCCCAAAGTGCCACCAAACTGTCCCCAAAGTGTCCCCAAACTGCACCTCCAAGCAGCCCCCAAAGCACCCCCAAAGTGTCCTCAAATCCGCCAAGGATTCAAAAAATGCCCCAAGGAGATCAAAACCCCCCCAAAAACCGCCTCAAGGGGACCCCCAAGACCCCGTCAGTGACCCCACAGCCCAGGGGAGCCCCAAAATCCCGGGGGAGCCCCAAAATCCCGGGGGAGCCCCAAAATCCAGGGCAACCCCCAAAAAATCGCCAAATCCCCCTAGAATTCCTCAAATCCCCCAATGATTTAAAAAATGTCCCAAGGAGATCAAAACCCCCCCCAAAATCCCCCAAAAACCGCCTCAAGGGGACCCCCAAGACCCCGTCAGTGACCCCACATTCCATGGGAGCCCCAAAATCCCGGGGGAACTCCCAAAATCCAAGGCAACCCCCAAAAAATCCCCAAATCCCCCCAGAACTCCTCAAATCCCCGATTTTTGGGGATTCCCAAAACCCCCCCAAGGATATCAAAACTTTCACAAAAAAAACCACCCAAAAACCTCCACAAGGACCCCCCCAGGGATCCCACATCCCAAGGGAACCCCAAAATCCCAGCGGAACCCCAAAATCCAAGGCAACCCCCCCCTCAAAAAAAAACACCAAAAAGCCCAACATCAAATCCCCCCAGAACTCTTCAAATCCCAAATTTTTGGGGATTCCCAAAATCCAGTGATATCAAAAGCTCCCCAAAGACCCCTCCCCCCAAAAACACCTCAAGGGGACCCCCAAAACCCCGCCGGTGACCCCACATCCCAGGTGAACCCCAAAACCCAAGGCAACCCCCCCAAAACCAACACCAAATCCCCCCAGACCTCCCCAAAATCCCCAATTTTCGGAAAATTCCCCAAATCCCCAACCCCTCCCCCTATCCCCCCCCACACGGTGACAACCTTGGCCAGCAACTAAGCACCACACAGGCACTTCCTGACTTCTGTGCTGCCGCAGAATAAAGGAACTGAATTGGAAGGGTGAAATTTAGAAAACTCATGGGTTGAGATATGAGTTGTTTAGTAACTGAAGTAACAATAGTAATAGCAACAATGATACTGCAATGAAAAACAAAGAGAGAGAAATAAAACCCAAGAACAACAAGTGATGTGAATGAGCAGCTGACTGATGCCATCTTGTCCTGGAGCAGTGTCTGCCAGCATTCCCTCTCATTTTACTGCTGAGCATGGTGCTGTATGGTCTGCAATATTCCTTGGATAACTGGGGCCAGCTCTTCTACCTGTGTCCCCTCTCAGCTCGTGAAGAGCAGAAAAGGCCTCGATGCTGCTTATGCTCAGCAATCACAGGAACATCCCTGCATTAGCAGCACTTCCCAGCACAAATCCAAAATGTAGCCCTGTGCTAGCTGCTGTGAAGAAAATTAATTGCACCCCAGCCAGAGCCAGCACAAGCAGCTGGCTAACTCCCTGTAGATGCAAAATCTTTACACCTGGGCAGGGCCAGTTGCAGCTTTCCCTGTTGTTGCAGTTGCTCAGCAGCTGACATGCAGTGGCTCTCCGAAGGCACCGGCAAAGAGGAATCTGCAGACAGCTCTTTCCAGCAGGATCCTCAGCAGAACGAACCGTGTGTTCTATATAGGCACAAAAGTTGGAAGGCACCTCTGGGTGTCATCTAGTCATGCCCCTGGCTCAGAACACTGCCCTTCTTCACCAGGAATAGCTGAGATATTAGCAAAGAGCTGCGGCACTGTCAGTGCAATCTGGGCTCTTCTTCCTTGGACAGTTTTGGGAGGGAAGCACGTTATGTTAACCACCCAGTTTCACTGGAACAACTTAGTGGTTCTGCCAATGCTTAAAGAGGATGGTGGTGACTTAGACAAGGATGGCTTACAGTGGTCATGTCCAGGAAGTAGTGACATTTCTGTGAGCTGTATAAAAGAATCTTAGAACAAACAAAAAAAATCTTCCTCCTGTAGTACTAGTTTGTCATTTGGAAGCAAACTCTGAGATATTTCTACTGAAGTATCTCATTTTTGGTCATGCAAGAAGCAGAAAACAGTAAGATAGCAGTCCCTAGCCCTTGCCATTGTCATACTTGCAAATTCTTTCTAGAGCAAGGATGCATTGGTTATCCAGAACAAATTGTTGGAGTCTACAACTTCAACAGGGTAGTGTACTCTTAGATGAACCCCCCCCTCCAAAAAAAACCCCAAAAAACCCAACATCAAATCCCCCCAGAACTCTTCAAATCCCAAATTTTTGGGGATTCCCAAAATCCAATGATATCAAAACCTCCCCAAAGACCCCTCCCCCCAAAAACACCTCAAGGGGACCCCCAAAACCCCGCCGGTGACCCCACATCCCAGGTGAACCCCAAAACCCAAGGCAACCCCCCCAAAACCAACACCAAATCCCCCCAGACCCCGGCGGGGGCGGCCCGTCCCCCCCCCGGCCCGGGCGGCGGCTGCCCAACGGGTACTACCCGGGCCACGGCGGCACCGGCAAGGGGCGGCCCGGTCTGCGCGACCCCTACAGCGAGACGGACGATGACTGCTGCTAGCGGCGCCTCCCGCGACGTGTCGTGGCCCGATATATCGCGACAGCGTGTCGCGGCCGGGGGGGTGGAAGTCGCCCCCCACCCCGCCCGCTCCCGGGGGTTTGGATGAGTTTTATCATCTGGAGGAGCCGCCGCGGGGGGGGCGGCCCCGGGGACCCCCCCCCCCGGGACCCCCCCGAAGCTCCCCATGGGCGGGGGGAGCCCCCGGCTCCGGGAGGAGCCGCCGGGATGGGAGCGGAGCCCGGGAGGCTCCGGGATGGGCAGCGGGTACCGGGTACCGCCACCGGGAACGGCGGGAACACCGGGAATACCGGGAGCACCGGGAAAACCGGGAACGGACACCGGGACCGGGAACCGGCACCGGGCACCGGGAACACCGGGAACACCGGGAACGGGCACCGGGAACACCGGGAACGGGCACCGGCCCCCCCCCGGCCCAAGGCACGGAGGCGGCGGAACCGGGGCCGCCGCCATTGCATGAACCGAGTTACCGAAAATAAAAAAGATCAAAGACAAAAAAAGGCAAAAAAAAGAAAAAAAAAAAAAAAAGAAAGAAAAACAAACAAACAAAAAACCGAACCCGAACCCGAACAGCCCCAAACCAGAACCATTAAAAAAAAAAGGAATTTTGGATCGAGCCCGTCTCGCTCCTTCCCGGGATCGCGGGGGGGGCACGGGGAGGGGGGGGCAGGGCCAGCCTGGAGCCCCCCGAAGCGCGGGATGGGGGGGGTGAGGGGGGAGGGGTCACACCGGGAGCCCCGGGAGTCCGGCCGTGTCCGGTTCCGGTCCACCGGGGGGGCCCCGCGCCAGTTTGGGGGATCCCCGTTCCAGTTCCGAGGGTCCGGGGGCGTCCAGAACCGGATCCGCGTGTCCCAGGGGGACCCAGAACCGGTTCCGTGTGTCCGGGGGGGGGTTCCCGTTAATGTCCGTGTGTCCCGGGGGGAATCCCCGTTAAGTTCCGTGTGTCCCGGGGGGTTCCAGAACCGGTTCCGCGTGTCCGGGGGAGGATCCCCGTTAATCTCCGCGTGTCCGGGGGGGGGATCCCCGTTAATCTCCGCGTGTCCGGGGGGGATCCCCGTTAATCTCCGCGTGTCCGGGGGGGATCCCCGTTAAGTTCCGTGTCCCGGGGGGGTTCCCCGTTAATCTTCGTGTGTCCGGGGGGGATCCCCGTTAATCTCCGCGTGTCCGGGGGGGATCCCCGTTAAGTTCCGTGTCCCGGGGGTCCCCGGAGGGCTCAGCACGCCCCCACGGCGCGGACCAGGAAACCGAAAGCGGCCGCGGGCGGCCCCGAGCAGCGCCCGGGCGGCCCCGGGGGCAGCGGCGGCGCCTCCGCCTCCAACCGCGCCCGTTTGCTCGGTACCGGGCCCCGGGCCGGCCCCGCCGAGCCGCTGCTGCGCCGCTTCTGCCCGGCCCGGGGGGCTCCGGTGGGCCGGGGAGCGCCGGGGGCAGCGGGCAGGGGGTCCCGGTTCACCGGGTCCGGGGTGGGACGGGGATCCGCGGTCGGTGGGGGGTCCCGGTTCCGGTTCGCGGCGCTCGAGGGGTCCTCGCTCGGTCGCCCGGGGGGGCATCCCCGGTGCCATTCACTGCGGGGGGCTCCGCCCGGTGGGTTCCGGTGGTCCCCGGTGCAGTCCCGGAGGGGGTTCCCCCATTCCTGCTCGGTCCGGGGGGTCGTTCTGTCCGCGCTCGGTGGGTTCGGGCACCGGGGGTCCCCGCTCGGGCCGCCACCCGCTCCGGGGGTCGCTCCGGTTTCCGCCGCCCCGGGAATCTCCGGTCCCGGGATCGCTCCGTTCTCCGCCGCCGCCTCGGGAAGCTCCGGTCCCGGGATCGCTCCTCTCTCCGCCGCCCCGGCAATCTCCGGTCCCGGGATCGCTCCGTTCACCGCCGCCCCGGGAATCTCCGGTCCCGGGATCACTCCGCTCCCCGCCGCCCCGGCAATCTCCGGTCCCGGGATCACTCCGCTCCCCGCCGCCCCGGCAATCTCCGGTAGAGGGGTCCCTATGTCCCACATTTGTTTTTGGGGAGGGGGTCTCTGTGCCCTCCATGATTTTGGGGAGGGGTCTCTGTGCCCCTCCCGTTTGTTTCGGCCGGTGCCTGCGCCCCTCCATGTCTTTGAGGAGGGGTCCGGTCTCTGTGCCCTCCATGATTTTGGGGAGGGGTCTCTGTGCCCCTCCCGTTTGTTTCGGCCGGTGCCTGCGCCCCTCCATGTCTTTGAGGAGGGGTCCCTGTGACCCTCTATGATTTTGGGGAGGGGCCCCTGTACCCCGCCATGTTTGGGAAGGGGTCCCTGTGCCCCTCCCATTTGTTTTTGGGGAGGGGTCTCTGTGCCCCCCCATGTGTTGAGGGGTCTCTGTACCCCCCCGTGTATTTGGGGAGGGGTCCCTGTGTCCCCCCATATTTGGGGAGGGGTCTCTGTACCCCTCTGTGTATTTGGGGAGGGGTCTCTGTGTCCCCCCATATTTGGGGAGGGGTCTCTGTACCCCTCTGTGTATTTGGGGAGGGGTCCCTGTGTCCCCCCATATTTGGGGAGGGGTCTCTGTACCCCTCTGTGTATTTGGGGAGGGGTCCCTGTGTCCCCCCATATTTGGGGAGGGGTCTCTGTACCCCTCTGTGTATTTGGGGAGGGGTCCCTGTGTCCCCCCATATTTGGGGAGGGGTCTCTGTACCCCTCTGTGTATTTGGGGAGGGGTCTCTGTGTCCCCCCACATTTGGGGAGGGGTCCCTGAGCCCCCTCCCCTGTTTTGGGGGTCTCTGTGCCCCCCCCATTTGTGTTTTTGGGGCTCCCCGTGCCCCCCTCCCCAACCCCGGGATCCCCCNNNNAATTTCCGTGTGTCCCGGGGGGGTTCCCGTTAAGTTCCGTGTGTCCCGGGGGGGTTCCCCGTTAAGTTCCGTGTGTCCCGGGGGGATCCAGAACCGGTTCCGCGTGTCCGGGGGGGATCCCCGTTAAGTTCCGTGTCCCGGGGGGGTTCCCCGTTAATCTTCGTGTGTCCGGGGGGGATCCCCGTTAATCTCCGCGTGTCCGGGGGGGATCCCCGTTAAGTTCCGTGTCCCGGGGGTCCCCGGAGGGCTCAGCACGCCCCCACGGCGCGGACCAGAAAACCGAAAGCGGCCGCGGGCGGCCCCGAGCAGCGCCCGGGCGGCCCCGGGGGCAGCGGCGGCGCCTCCGCCTCCAACCGCGCCCGTTTGCTCGGTACCGGGCCCCGGGCCGGCCCCGCCGAGCCGCTGCTGCGCCGCTTCTGCCCGGCCCGGGGGGCTCCGGTGGGCCGGGGAGCGCCGGGGGCAGCGGGCAGGGGGTCCCGGTTCACCGGGTCCGGGGTGGGACGGGGATCCGCGGTCGGTGGGGGGTCCCGGTTCCGGTTCGCGGCGCTCGAGGGGTCCTCGCTCGGTCGCCCGGGGGGGCATCCCCGGTGCCATTCACTGCGGGGGGCTCCGCCCGGTGGGTTCCGGTGGTCCCCGGTGCAGTCCCGGAGGGGGTTCCCCCATTCCTGCTCGGTCCGGGGGGTCGCTCGGTCCGCGCTCGGTGGGTTCGGGCACCGGGGGTCCCCGCTCGGGCCGCCACCCGCTCCGGGGGTCGCTCCGGTTTCCGCCGCCCCGGGAATCTCCGGTCCCGGGATCACTCCGTTCTCCGCCGCCGCCTCGGGAAGCTCCGGTCCCGGGATCGCTCCTCTCTCCGCCGCCCCGGCAATCTCCGGTCCCGGGATCGCTCCGTTCACCACCGCCGCCCCGGCAATCTCCGGTCCCGGGATCCCTCCGTTCACCGCCGCCCCGGCAATCTCCGGTCCCGGGATCACTCCGCTCCCCGCCGCCCCGGCAATCTCCGGTCCCGGGATCACTCCGCTCCCCGCCGCCCCGGGAAGCTCCGGTCCCGGCAGGCTCTCGGCGGCCGCTCGGGCGCTCAGGTACCGGTGTCGAGCGGCTCGAACGAGCAGCGAGAGCTGCAGGCTCCGGTGCAGGCGGAGGCCGCCCCGCCGCACCCGGCACCGGTAAAGCTTCCACACCGACACCGTCAGCAGCCGCTGCGCCTCCTCCATGGCGGCGGCGGCACCGGGACTGCCCCGCTCCGGCCCCGCCGCGCTTTTTGTACCGCCCTGACCCCCCCGTGCTCCCCCCCGCCACCGCATCCGGCCCCGGGCCTTTGAGGAGGGGTCCCTGTGACCCTCTATGATTTTGGGGAGGGGCCCCTGTACCCCGCCATGTTTGGGAAGGGGTCCCTGTGCCCCTCCCATTTGTTTTTGGGGAGGGGTCTCTGTGCCCCTCCCGTTTGTTTCGGCCGGTGCCTGCGCCCCTCCATGTCTTTGAGGAGGGGTCCCTGTGACCCTCTATGATTTTGGGGAGGGGCCCCTGTACCCCGCCATGTTTGGGAAGGGGTCCCTGTGCCCCTCCCATTTGTTTTTGGGGAGGGGTCTCTGTGCCCCTCCCGTTTGTTTCGGCCGGTGCCTGCGCCCCTCCATGTCTTTGAGGAGGGGTCCCTGTGACCCTCTATGATTTTGGGGAGGGGCCCCTGTACCCCGCCATGTTTGGGAAGGGGTCCCTGTGCCCCTCCCATTTGTTTTTGGGGAGGGGTCTCTGTGCCCCTCCCGTTTGTTTCGGCCGGTGCCTGCGCCCCTCCATGTCTTTGAGGAGGGGTCCCTGTGACCCTCTATGATTTTGGGGAGGGGCCCCTGTACCCCGCCATGTTTGGGAAGGGGTCCCTGTGCCCCTCCCATTTGTTTTTGGGGAGGGGTCTCTGTGCCCCTCCCGTTTGTTTCGGCCGGTGCCTGCGCCCCTCCATGTCTTTGAGGAGGGGTCCCTGTGACCCTCTATGATTTTGGGGAGGGGCCCCTGTACCCCGCCATGTTTGGGAAGGGGTCCCTGTGCCCCTCCCATTTGTTTTTGGGGAGGGGTCTCTGTGCCCCTCCCGTGTGTTTCGGGGGTCCCTGTACCTCCCCGTGTATTTGGGGAGGGGTCCCTGTGTCCCCCCATATTTGGGGAGGAATCCCTGTGCCCCCCCCATATTTGAGGAGGGGTCTCTGTACCCCCCCCGTGTATATGGGGAGGGGTCCCTGTGTCCCCCCATATTTGGGGAGGGGTCTCTGTGCCCCTCCCGTTTGTTTCGGCCGGTCCCTGCGCCCCTCCATGTCTTTGAGGAGGGGTCCCTGTGACCCTCTATGATTTTGGGGAGGGGCCCCTGTACCCCCCCATGTTTGGGAAGGGGTCCCTGTGCCCCTCCCATTTGTTTTTGGGGAGGGGTCTCTGTGCCCCCCCATGTGTTGAGGGGTCTCTGTACCCCCCCGTGTATTTGGGGAGGGGTCCCTGTGTCCCCCCATATTTGGGGAGGGGTCTCTGTACCCCTCTGTGTATTTGGGGAGGGGTCTCTGTGTCCCCCCACATTTGGGGAGGGGTCCCTGAGCCCCCTCCCCTGTTTTGGGGGTCTCTGTGCCCCCCCATTTGTGTTTTTGGGGCTCCCCGTGCCCCCCTCCCCAACCCGGGGATCCCCGCCCCCGCCACTTCCATGCCCATATAAGGCAACGCTGACGCCACGGGAAGGGGGCGGAGCCACGCGCGGCAGAAAGACGGGAACCTGCTTCCGCATGCCCATATAAGGGCAAAAAGAGGCGGAGCCTTCCCTGCGCGCCCCTCCCCGGGGTTTTCACGACCCCCCCCCATTTTCCCAGCCCCCGGGGCCGTTTTTGGGGGTCGGGGGGCGCGGCTGTTACAAACTCTGTGTTTATTTTCACTATTCACACGCTCCCTCGCGCCCAACAGCAGTTCATGTGCAACCTCCAGCGTCGGGGGGGGGGGCTCG